GGAGAAAATACGGACCGTAAAACTGTTCCCTATCATACGGTGAAATACATTCCGTTTACTGCTAGTATTCTGACCGTTTGCGGCCGTAAATACACCTTTTTTCATCGTTAACTACCGTGAAACGGCGCGTAAACGGTATTCGTTTTGACCGACCTGGGTAGTAATTTGTTTTTGTGTCAAAGTTTATTCCATAAGAACATAGTAGAATCCATGTATTTTTTCTCAATGAGTACTTTTACTGTATGCTTAAATTTTAATGGTTTAATTAGCAAATTCGATTTTATTAGTGATCATTACTTTAAAAGCTGGAAGGATATCTTCGAACAATATTCTCTAGTTCCTTATTAATAAATATTAGTAGATATAGCGGAGCTAATATATATCTAATTTACTCAAGATTTGGAGTAGATGCAGATTCTAAAACGGCACTTAGGACAATCGGTAGATAATACTGTTGAACTTTTGAATGCCAGTCAGCTCAATGACTTCGATATGAAATATATCAGTCTTTAATAATAGTGTTTTTTATAAACTTCAGTATATAGATGATTACATATAAGAAATTTTTTCTTTTGCGAGCTTTCGCTCTCGCCGATAGCATCTTATATGTAATCATCTATATACTGAAGAAATATGAAATATAGTCTAACGAGGGAATCTCCTGAGGTGCTAAAAACCTTTTTGAATGGGACTATTTTTAATATGTGAGACCTCATGGGCTATGAACAGCCTCAACTTGGTTCGGGCGCAATCATCTTTGTTGCTGAGATATCGATTTCAAGTAAAATCGGAGTTTTGAATTTCATGTTGAAACTTATCATAGCTTATAACTTATCATAACTTATCGTAGCTCAGACCATTTGTAGTCCGATGAAAAAAGATCGAGCTGAAAACCTCTTTCCGCTGCGATGGAAGAATTTTTCAAAACTTGCTCCATAGTTTTTACCTTTGGTACCTATTTGGAAAAAGTTCTTTCACTTCAGAAGGTTCCCTCATAAGAGGAGAAGAAAGAACAAGCATCTTAGAATTATTAGGTCAGCGAAAAAGTTTGATAAAAGAATATTCCTGGTCGTTTGTAGATAAAATGGATTTAGAATAAGATATCCATAGGTCGTATTTTCCCTGCTTTTTCTTTCATTTTTATTACTGTTATCGGTTACAATGGTGATTATTGAATTAGCTAATTCTTGTTTATTCGCATCAACATCAACAGTTATGTTGGTGTTTGTGTTCATCAGTGACGGTGAATCAGAGTATTAATTTCTTTTGGCTTTAATTGCATTGTAACGAATTGTTAGCATCAAATACATGGAATTTTTTATATAACAGATCTTTATATTAAATGACACAATTATTGGGACCACTTACTTTTAATTTAACTTTTCTAATAACTTCATTGAGGCTAAGGTTGGTGTACATCGTAACTATTTCTCATCACTGTTTTCATCTCAAAAGCAAAACCTTACGTCGTTTTTTTTTTCAAGAATAAAAATTAACAAATACAACCAAAAGCTTTTCGTACCATAAGGAAAAAGCGGCTTCCTTTTACAAAAGTCGTTAAGTAGTTTTCACCTTTTGCAAGATATTGGCTCATCGATTCCTTAAAAATAAAACTTTATTTACAAAAAATTATCCGTATCATCATATCTGATTACCATATTCGTTACATAAATAAGAAGATAAAAATCTACTTTGTTTGAGAGAATGCAGGAAAATCGTTGGTGTCATTGAACGGAAAGTAACACCAAAATGAAGGAAAAAAAAACTTGTATTGTGACGTCAAGTTAAAGACGTTGCAAATAGCAGAAACAGTATAGCATTGCATAAAGCTCCTATGACTTTCAGTGTATACACGTTTCGTTTTATTTTATTTTGCACTCCCAATTGCGAACGATAGTTTAAACCAAACATATAATACTTATTCACAAAGACCTTGAAAAAAGATTTTTATATTGAAAAGCACTAAGTTTTCTTTCATTTCACTTAGTCGACATGACACAGTAACTTTTCGTTTGCAGTTTATTTAAAAACGAGGTTTAATGTGTTCAAGTTTCTCTTTGTATCGTACAAAATTTATTTTCGTTTTTTCTATACGGAGTTCTAGAATACTGTAATAGAAGATTTCTGTTTGCATTCTGAAATAATAATGCTTGAGTGAATTAAGATTTTTTTATTCGTTGAAATAGTTTCATTAACGAAAATTATGCTTAATTGTTTTTCTTAGAATCAAATAAACTTAGGGTTTGTACGATCGACATATTGTGTATATTTTGACAGCAATCCTTGAATAATTGAAATCTTATTTTTTTAGAATGAATATTAAAATAGCTTTTTTCATACATACACAATATGACTGCACAGAAAGTGTTTTTAAAATCCTTTTTCCATAGCAGTTTTGAGAGAAGGTGATAAAAAGTTCGTTTGTTATTCATCATTGTTTTTATACTTTGTCGATCTCAAAAACGCTTTTATATTCTAGATTATTGAACACTTTATTTTCTTTCATTTTATGTTCTATGACAAACGTCGAAAAATGAATTGAAATTTTGATATTTAACTATGCTAATCAGGAAAAAAGGTCCGTATGATGTGAAAATGATCTTAATGCTTGCTAAGAGTATTTTAAATTATCAGTTTTTCATTTTGCTTAAAATTTACTTGTATGTTAAATAGTAATGAGTTATTTTAAGAAAAACATGACAATGTTCTTGTTAAAGTACAACTATTTTCGTACTATTCCAATAAGACAGGTTAGTTTGTCGTAGGTATGACAAATAGAGTCAATTTCGTTTAGTTCATCCACTCTTCAACTGTACCTTTCTCTCTTCTGTTTCTCTTTTTTCTCTCTTCCTGCGTCTATTTAGTATTTATTTTTGGTGACAGTTCTCTAATGTAAGCAATAACTGTTTGCTTGTTCTCTATTATCCTGACTTATACTAACAGGTTTATGGAAATAAATAATCTAATCTAAAATGAATTTTTGAATTGTTATAATTTTTCAAACGTTGTTCATAAAACTCAATGTTTATTAAAACTTTTATTGAGTATCAAGATAAATGTATTTAAAATCTTTTAATTTAACTTCCGATTTAAAATATAATTACTATAATAATATATATTAGCTCAATTCTATTTTTTTTTCAATTCTGAGTAGCACATTAACAATATAATGATATGATATGTAGAGGCCTGCGGGACCAAACTTTTTTGGTCCCCGTCCCACGAAGTTTGGTCCCGGTTTCGTGAAGAAAAAAATTTTGGTCCCGGTCCCATTGTCCCCTAAATATTTTTTCAAAGTAGCACTGATAGTTTGAAAGTTTTATACTCCATACTAGACTATTTTCAAAAAAACCTGATCCCGGTCGCATTAAAAGTTCTGCGGGACGATCTCTAGGTCCCAGTCCCGTAGAAAGTTCCGCAGACCTCTAATGATATGCCTGTGAACGTGGTCAGATACGTGTCATGTTAAAAATGAAAGGGATTAGCTTTAGGTGTATTAAAGATTTTGATTTTTCTCTCCTATATTTCTATTCTTGAAAAAGAAACAGAACGAATGAAGTGATTGTTGTGATTTCTTTTTTTTTTTATGGACAACTGAACCAGTGGATACAATTGTACGTCTAAAATCAACTTGCTTTTAAATGACAATTGTATTTTATTATCTATTAGACATGTCGTATGTTATGATTTTTTATCTATCTAATCTCTTTTAATACACTTATTCACACAAGTGACATAACTTTTTAATCAGTTTAGTCCGTCAGTCTGAGAATATGTACCACATGTTTGTTATAGATAAGACACGGACTTATACTAAACTTTTTATTTGCACAGCTAGTAATCTATATTTAGATTTTTTGTTTTGTATCTGTCGCCAAAATTCTTTCTTTTTCTATTAAACAAAATCCAATAGTCCAATTTTCAATGTTTGTATATTGCTTAGTATACAAATCTCTTCCCCCCTCTCTCTCTCTCCCTCTCTCTTTCTTCTCTTGTGGTGAAAAAAAAAACATTTATTATCGTGGAAAGTATCAATAATTAAAGGTGTTTTTGTGTTTTTGTTGAAAAACAAAATATTTATATATATATGTATGCAAAGTAAACATTTATTCAGCCGAGTTCTTGTTAGTTTATTTCAAAAAATCGTAAATATAATTACACACGTAAGTTATTGAGGAAATGTTGAGAAGTGAGGCTCTGCGTCTTTTTCTATTTACCTTTACAATGTGGGTCAACTGGAATGACGTGTCTGCTAGATTCCTGATTCCAAAAATCTTTATCTTTTTCTCGCCATCCAGGAATATCCAATGATATTAGTAAAATTAAGGAGTTAAGGTACAATTCTTTATTTAATGTACGGTAAAGATCATGTTTTTACTCAGTTTGTTTTATATCATTCCTATAGTTCAATAAAATCAGTTTTATAGTGTAGATAGCGTATTCTAAGAACTCTTTCTTTGATTATTTCATTTTTTCTCAGATCAGTCAATATCTGTTTCCCCATCTGATTGTCTGTCATTGAACGAGAATGGATATCGATTCGATTCGTTCTACATTAGCCAAATATGATCAGCAACATCTCCTTAAATACTGGAATGATTTGAATGAGAAAGAAAAACAAACATTACTACGAGATTTAAATGAAATTGATTTTCCTCGAATTCATGATGCATATCAACATATCAAATCAGAATTAACGTCATCGGCTAACGGAAAAGAGCACCAAAATGGAACGGGTGATGATAAGTATCAGAAGATTGATCAGATAATGGAACCAATACCAGAACATTTGGCAGGAAGTGTGTATGAAGCAACTCAAACAGAAATAGACGAATATCGACAGACAGGTCTGTGAAAATCGATTATTTGCCTATGAAATTTGGCAATAATATTGTTTCTTTATCGTTTTAGGTTTGAAAGCAATAGCTGACGGTGAAGTTTGTGTATTGTTGTTAGCTGGTGGACAAGGAACACGTCTTGGTAAGTACATCAAAAATTTTACAATTTGGCTATTTCTAGTCTCTTTCACACTACATTTGTCTGTCTCGGTCCTTAGCGAAGATGTTTTTATGAAACGTTTTTCAGTACTCTTGAACTCTTCTATTGAAATCTAAATTTTTTATTTACTTGTATAGGAGTATCCGATCCAAAAGGCATGTACGATGTAAATTTATTATCTCGAAAAAGTTTATATCAGATTCAAGCCGAACGAATTCGACGTCTCCAAGAATTAGCAAATGATCAGTATGGCAAAAATGGACAAATACCATGGTATATCAATTGTGTATATATTGTGTCCATAAATAGTTCACTCTTCTACTCTTTTCAATTAGGTTTATAATGACCAGTGAACATACAAAACATGCCACGGAAGATTATTTTCGTGAACGTAACTATTTTGGTTTAAGACGAGAAAATATTATACTGTTTGAACAACACACATTACCAACATTAGATTTTCAGGGTAAAATATTATTAGATGAAAAATATAAATTAACTAAAGCACCGGATGGTAACGGTGGATTATATCGTGCATTACGTACACGTGGAATATTAAATGATAT